AAAAGACTGTCTTAGTGTGAATTGTTTTTAAACAACCTCTATATAATTTCTTCTTTTTCAAGCAGTTTTTTCCTCATATTTTTAGTTTTTTTTTTTTTTTTGAGGAATTTAACGCGAGAACTACTGCTGTGTCTTGACGCGATTTATAATTGTGAATGTTTTTTTTTTTTTTTTTGTGTTAACGTTGAAACAACGTTTCAGTCTCAACCTCAACTCTCAACATCACCTTCACTCATCCTCCAGCTCGTATGTATGTATGTATGAAATTTCTTATTGATGATGAATATTTCATTTGTTCATTGTCGAGCGATACGTAACGAATTGCATTTAGTTGCGGTCATCTGGGTTGTGTTTGGTTTTTTTTTTCTACTTTATTTCTTTCGGTTTTTTTATATTTATAGTGGTAATGTGAGCAGAGTATGAAAGAGTACGAGTCCGTCTGTCTGTCCATGAATCTTCTAAGTATGTTTAGCATTTTGTTAAAGTATTCTATACTAGAGTTGAAGAGTGTTGTTAAGAATGTATTATTTTCTTTTCTAGATACGTTTATAATTTTCTTGACATGTGTAAACAGTTCATCAAGTAGAAGATTTTATTAGGAATTTTTTAAAATCACATGTTTCGAGTTAAAGAGAAATAACCTGCTGTTAAGTCGAAATAGGAAAAAATGTGATAATTATTTACGTTATATAATAAAAAAAAATCAATTTAAAAATTTTCATAAATTTTTTTTAGAAATTTTAGAAATTTTTTGAAATTTTTATCAAAAGTTCAGATTTTTATTATACCCTACATCACTATAGTGGGAAGGATGTTATGCGTTTGAGCTGATGTTTGTAACACCCAAAAATATTCGTCCTAAACCCTTATGTCCGTCTGTCTGTCTGTCCGTCCGTCCGTCTATCTGTCTGTCTATCCGTCTGTGTATCCATGTAAACCTTTACAGCAATTTTCAAGGTAATTGGATGACATTTGTTACAAGGACGAAACCTATTGAAAATGGTTTGTTATTAAAAGTACTTCTTAGTATATTTTAACTAAAAAAAACTCTTTACAACAACAAAATTTTATTGATCTTTAAGGATGTTTCTTTTTTTAGCAGAAAAAAAAATCTATAATTTTTATTTTATTATTCTGCAAAAAGTATAAAAGAATGGCTTAATGTTTGGTCTTTAATATTTAAATTTTTGCCCAACGTCAACAAAAATATTTATGACTTTAACAAGGCAAACAGAAGGCGTTGTAATGTTGAAAGTAGTAAAATTTAATCAAAAAAAGTAGAAATAAAACTATAAAAAAAGCTTTACATAAAAATAACATAAATTTTGTTAAAAAAAAAGTTTACATAAACCAATAAAGTGTAATGCTGAAAACTCATAAAAGCTTTACAAATAAAACAGGGTTTTTAAAATCCTATACACATGATCGATTTAAACTCTTTCTTTCAAAACGTCTGTAAAAACTGTGTAAACTAATATATGGCTTAAAATGTGTTAACAGCCCTTTTGGTTAAGAAATCCCAGGATTTATTAATAAATGTCCGCGCGCGTGTTTTAAGCCTTTAAAATGGCACACTATAGGCAGCCTTAAGCTAAGCTTTTTTTTCTGTCTTTCTTTCATACTTCCACTCTTTTGTTTAGTTTTTGTAAAGAAATTTTATTTCTTTTGGTAAATGTTAGGAAAAACATAAATAAATGGGATTTTTCTTTCAAAAGAAAAGTATTTTATTTACTATGCTGCTGCTGTAAAGTTAAAGAGGCCTGCTGTTTACTGCTGCTACTAGCAGCATTTATATACATTCACTTCCTTGTCTAACTAACTGTGAGCCTTGCTGCCTGCCTGCCTGCTTGTCTTGTTTATTCATCTTTTGTGGCTGTTAGATGATGCTGATGATTTCTATACATTTTATGTAAAACTAGGAACAGCCATAGAAAACTGATCATTGTTCTGATTTAAATCTGTGTTAGAGTTTTTGTTCAATTGTTATTATCATATGAGTTTAAAGTAATTTTTTTTGCACATTTATTAAACCGCTTGAGTTGTAATTTATTTGCTAGAGATTTAATAGATTTAAATTATTAGCCTGTGGATTTAAATTTCTTAAATATGTTTAACTATTTGGGTGCAAAAACTTTCGGGTTTTGCAAAAAAAGTCAAAATATTTGAAATGGAAATGGATGTGTAAAACTGATGTCCGTTTGTCTTGTTAAACTCATCAATACTTTCAAAAATCCTTTGAGTTTTCATATAGATTTTAAAAAGTTCCGTAAGGATCAATAAAGTTAGAGAAATGCAAGAAAAAGTAAGTCCTTAACTACTTCTTTTAAGGAACATTTTTATTTATACTGAAAACTAGATAAATTTACTATAACTTTTCCTACACAATATTAAGTCCATTTTAACAAAACTCAGTTGAATAGTTTTACTTTAAAAGCCTATCTTAGGTAGAATCAAAATGACCAGAGTTTAATGTTCATTTGATACTCTAGAAGTGAAAGAGGATTTTGATGACATTACACATCATGCTATAAAAGCTCCCGAATAAGTCCAACTACAGTTAGTTAGACTATTTAAAAAAGCTATGAAAGCTATCCGTTAATAGAGGTTAAGTTTCAAAGATTTAAAAAATTATTTGAACATATTTTCAACAGTTTCTTTTATTATATTTTCCCCAAAAACATGTAAATTTCTCCTCAAATTAATTAATAAACATAAAAACAGAATAACGACGGCATGACCACAATTGCTAAAAATGAAAATAATTGATATATAAAACAAGTTTTAGTTTAGGTTAGGTTGATAGGAGGATGTATACTACATCAAATCCATAGAAATATACTTAGGCCACTATCGGGCCTGCTGTGCGCTCCTTTTCATGAAAAAAATTTGTTCACTGAATGTATTATTTTTCAATGAGTCAGGAATGTGATTTCCGGAATAAAATCACTTCCATGATAGTTGGATGTAACTTCGATAAATGCCTGACAATGGCCAAGATAGTGCTCCAGAGTTTCACTGTCCAATTTTGTATAGATGTGCTCGTAACCCTGTGAGTCCACTAAGAATACGTACCATCTTACTAACTTCAGACTTGCTCATTTTGAGGAAATTTCTCGTCTTGTTCTCATCAGGGTCACCTCATAGGATCTTTGTGATTCTACCCACTGTTTCATTATTCCAAGAGCCCTTATTGTATACTCTTACCCATATTTTAAATTCCACTTTTGTTGCGTTGAATGGTTTTGCCTTTGTCGGGTTAACTACCTCGAGAACCCTTCCCTTTAAAGCTATTACATTCGCCCTTTCGTTGCCGACTACTCCCGAGTGTCCTGGTACCCATATGATGCAAACCTTAGCTCTGGGAGAATATTCAGTTAAAGCTTTCTAACAATCCAATACGGTCTTAGATTTAATTCTATCACCTGATATCGCCCTAATTGCCGACAGCCAGAAGGCTGATGAGAAGATGAAAATAATTGTAATTTAAAACATGTTTTAGTTTAGTTTTTAAGACCTTAAAGTTTAAAAAGAATTACGACGGCAAGATGACCCCTAGAAATGTATAAGCAATAGTTGGATGTTTGTTAAAAACAAGAAAAGAAACTCCAGAGGATTCAAACTGAATTACGGAATTACCTCGGAATATCATCAGCATGAGGAAATTAAGATTCTCCCAGTCTAGGAACACAATGTCGTGTTGACTAATTAGTTCCTCCTGGGATGTTACAGGAGGAGTCATTCCAACGTTAATATCAGACAGTTGGCTTATCGGGAAGGATCTTCGTAGAACATATGCAATTATGTTCATGATCCAATAGATCAGTCCACGTACTCGGCAACTTTGAACGACATTAATGGAGACAAAATCAATTCCGCCGTCGCAGGATACCGCATGAATGTCGTACTTGAAGGTCGCCCATGACAGACTCCGAAGAAAACCTGCCGCGTAAAACAAGAGTAGTTCTTGCTCAACTACTATTGGAGTGTAGCAACAGGCTTAATGCCTACTGGACACGCATAGACCGAGTCGTCCCAATGAATGTCCAGCATGTGGTCACCGTTCCCACGATAACCATCACCTACCTATTCATCTGCTTAGCCAACCCTACTTCTCCTTGTCTAATGGTCACATTAAGTTTAAGTAGCACAATTTTTAGTCTTGGACATTGATGTGGAACCCTCCAATTAAATTATTGTATAGTTACAACAACAACGGTAAAGCGTCTAGTGACGTTTTAAATGAAAAGCTTTTGAAAAAATATAATATATCCATCCACATAAGAACTTTCGCTAGAACATTACCCAGAACAAACCCACAATTTCCTAAATATAAACTCCCGTTAAAAATACAAGTAAAATCACTTCAGATTCTTAAATAGCAAACTTGGAACTAGTAACCATAACTTCTGGTTTACGTACTGTGAAACATTGTTGGGATATCAAAACATTTCTAAAGAGTTTTGATGAAACCACATCTTTGTAGTTATACATTCGTGGTAGGTCCTATACAACTTATACTAGAAACTTTTTGGACCTGGAACTAATTCCGAGAGCAATTAAATATGAACAAAACAAACTATTGTATTAAATCACTAGCAAGAATTGCGTCGGTCTAGTGTTGAAAAATGTTGGAAATCATGTAAAAAGTTTAGAATCTAAAAACCGGGAATACTTTTTTTTTAATTTTAACTATTTATAAACTTGCCTTTATAAATCTATTGAGAAATCCTTTTACATAGTCTTTAAATAAAACAAATATTGACCCCAGAATCTAAGGTTTCATAGCAGTTTAATAATCCAAAAATCAAGTTCAAAAAGTTTTTGCCGTTTTTTTTTCTCGTAATTAAAAAGTTTTTTTGAAACAATTTCTTTTTTTCTTGCGGAAAAAGCCAACAGAAAAAGTTTTGACAGTTGGTTGCTTGTTGTTTTAACTGCACACACATACACATACACAATTAAACAAATACATATGTAAATAATAAACACAAACACACACTCACCTATATTGTGTTGATTGTTGTGTAAAACCGAACCAAACGCCATTAGATCCTTAACCGGCGGTGCTCTTGAGCCGAGGGCGGCGAAACCGTCGCCCAAAAATGACGCCAACGCGACAGCCCTAAGGGGCGCTTTAGTTACTTCGGTAAGAATTTTGTTAAACAAATTATAGCAGGTTTATAAGAGAATTTATTTTTGGATTTTTGTTTTTTTTTCACTTTTTTTTAGGGGGGTTTTTAATTTTTTAAATATTTTGTTGAAAAACAAATTTTCAAGATTTTTATTTTTAAGGATTTGAAAAAATAAATTATTTTAAATTATTTTATTGGTTTTATTGGTTTAAGGTATTTTTTTTATTATTATGAATTTGAAATCTTTTAATTGCCAACAGGTTTTTTGTTAGATTTTTTTATTGCACTTTTTTTTCTTTTCTTTTTTTGAAGTAAAAGGAACAAGTTAGACGGCGGCGTTTATTTTAAACACGAGTAGGTTGTTTTTTAACTTTTTGTTGTTGTTGTTTTTTATATTTTTGTTGACGTTAATTAGCGCGCGCAAAAAAAAAAAATCTACAATTTTTTTTTAATGTTTGTAGTTAAAGGATTTTTTTGCTATAAATTCCTGTTATTAAGGGGGTCGGTGAGTATGTGGGTTTGGTAGGGGAGTTAGACAGGATGTGTTTTGTGGGTATATGCGTATTTAATATTTGAGAGTAATTGAAATTATTTTAGAGTATGATGATGAGCTTTTCTTTTTTTAACGTTTTGCTGCTAATGATGATAATAAGTTTAATAATAATGATGTTTTGTTGGCGTTTGTTTGGTGTTGTTTAGAGGGAGTTTTAAAAAAGAGTTTTATAATACAAGTGGTTGTTGAGAAAATGACCTATGTTGTCGGTTAAGTTAAGGTTTAATTACTTAATTCTTAAGCAGCGTTTTTTAAATCACCGGGTTTTACACTGTTAAAAAGATTGCTGCAATTTGAGTTAAAACCTTTAAGCAGTTTAACACTTTTCACTTTTTTTCTAGGTTTAATATTTTCTTAAATTTTTCTTTAACTTTTTTCTTTTTAAAAGAAAATGACTTTTTTGCTCTTTTTTTGTTAACCGTTAAATTAATCCACAAATAGGTGTTACTAACAAGAGCTTTTAGTCATTAACAAATTTTCACTTTTTATAATTTTTTTCTTAAAATTTTATCCAAATATTACGTGTATTTTCTTAAACATTTACGTTTCATATAGTAATTTGTTGTATTTCTTCAGAAAATACGTTTTCTAAACTTGTATTTCATAAGTTTAATATTTATCCGCTACGTATAAACCGTACCCTCGCAGCGAATGTCAAACGAAAACTAAAATACGCGACGTTATTGTATGTGTACGGTTAATGGGATGGATGCCTCAAGCAACAACTTACTAAAAACTAAATCTCACAGATACAATATTTCAAAAAAAAACACACCAACAAAATACCAACAATAATAACAACATTTTAGCAGCAGCAGGTATAAACAGAACCGGTTTATCATACAAATAACACCAAACACAACAACAACTAAAGTTACAGCCTCTCATTGTTAAAGTTAGAAACCATTTATCTCTTTCTATTTGCTGCTTTAACTCTGCACAACCAACAGAGACAACAAATATTTCCCCTTAATTTTCTAACGCTCTCAGCTCTCCCAAAAAACTCTCCTTTAATCAAAAATATACTTTTGTTTTTGCTTTAAAAAGAGACAACTACACTTTCCTATAAACCAAAACTTCTCTTTCTTTCTCTCCAAAGTTAATTGTTGTTTTTGATTTTTCTCTAGCAATGGAGTCTGTTGATGACATTTTCATTTCAAAAGGCTGACTTGTCTCATATGTTCCGTTTTGTTGCTACATCTGCTTAAGACGGAGACATCATTTTTGTGGTTAGAGGGCGTTGCTAAGCAACTGTGTTAAAACTGTTTGTTGTAGTTGTTTTTTTATTTTTAAGTTTTTTTCAAATTGTTTTTGCATAAAACTTTTTACACGTTGTTTTTAATGCACATTGTGCTCTTTGCTGTGTGTTTTCATTTTTTTCCTCACAAGTTTGCTCTATTTGTTAAACTCTCTCCTCTCTTTTAACGCTAAAATATTAAAAGTATGTCTTGTTGTGTTTAGTTGTTGTTAGTGTTTAAAAGTTTTGTTCCAGGGTTTGTAAACAACTGTGTTGTTTGTTTTCTTTTTTTCTCTCAGTGTGTTTCATTTTTTTTTCTTTTCTGTTTTTGTTGTTATATATGTATGCAAGAGTGTGTTTACGTTTTGTTATTTTTTTCTCTGCTAGGAACCAATGGCATTTCAAAAAGTGACATTTTGCTCGTCGTTGCTGTCGTTTGGCTAAAGTATGGAGTTAATATTAGTGTTTGTAAGAGTGTTTATGCAAAAATTGAACCTACAAACCAACAGATACTAAGTTAACATATAGAGCCCTGTATACAACACTTCTTGTTGTGTTTTTATCATGAATCGAGTTTATTGTTGTTTGTTTATTTGTTTGCTATATGATGGTTTTGCTTTTCTCTTTGTTTTTATTGTAGTTGTAGCTGTTGTTGCTGCTGTTTAACTGAGTGTAGATTTGTGTGTATGTTTGTATTCCAAGGTAAAATGTCAAATACTTTCTGTTGTCTGTCATTTGTGTTGGTTCAAGTGCAAAACATGAAGTTTTGCTTTGGCTTTAACTTTAAGTGTTGATGGGTTCTTGTTTGGTTTTTTTCTTTTTGTTGTTTATTTTCACATTTTGTATTGTTAGTTTTTTTGTTACGGCTGTTTATAGTCACAGTCACTATATTGCCAGCCATCACAGAAAATAGGATTGCCCATTTTTAGGAGTATAAAATGGGTTCACTACAAGAGAATAACGACATCGAAAATGAACATGTTAATTGTAATTCCCTGCTTTTAAAATATGTACCTATCTTTGGTTATACAGTTTTTAATTTCAATTGAATTTTTTATAGAAATTTTTCAATAAATTTCCTTTTTAAAGGAAATTTTCTACAATTAGTTTTAAGGCATTTTCTATAAATTTCCCTTTTATACCTAGTATTTTTTTACAAATTTCCTTTTTAAAGAAATATTTTAAATCTCCTTATTAGAGGAGATTTTGAATAAGTTTACTTTTAAAGAATATTTTTATAATAAAAATTTCATTAAATTTCCATTATAAGGGAAATTGGTAATAAATTTCCCTTTTAAAGGGAATTTTCAATATATCTCCTTTTTAAAAGAAATTTCGAATAAGTTTCACTTAGAAAAGAAATTTCCAATAAATTTCACTTTCAAAGGAAATTTTCAATAAATTTCCCTTTTAAAGGAATTTTTTTATAAATCTTTTTTCAAGGGAATTCAGAATAAGTTCCCTTTTCAAAGGAAATTTTCAATAAATTTCCCTTGTAAAAGAAATTATTAATAAATCTTCTTTTTTTAAGGGAATTTGGAATAAGTTTCCTTTTTTAAAAACAATTTTCAATAAATTTCCTTTTTATAGGAAATTTTCAATAATTTTCCTTTTTACAGGAAATTTTTAATAAATTTCCTTTTTATAGGAAATTTTCAATAAGTTTCCTTTTTATAGGAAATTTTAAATAAATTTCCTTTTTATAGGAAATTTTCAATAAATTTCCTTTTTTATAGAAAATTTTCAATAAACTTCCTTTTTTATAGGATATTTTCAATAAATTTCCTTTTTATAGGAAATTTTCAATAAATTTCCTTTTTATAGGAAATTTTCAATAAATTTCCTTTTTATAGGAAATTTTCAATAAATTTCCTTTTTATAGGAAATTTTCAATAAATTTCCTTTTTATAGGAAATTTTCAATAAATTTCCTTTTTATAGGAAATTTTCATTAAATTTCCTTTTTATAGGAAATTTTCAATAAATTTCCTTTTTATAGGAAATTTTCAATAAATTTCCTTTTTATAGGAAATTTTCATTAAATTTCCTTTTTATAGGAAATTTTCATTAAATTTCCTTTTTATAGGAAATTTTCAATAAATTTCCTTTTTATAGGAAATTTTCATTAAATTTCCTTTTTATAGGAAATTTTCAATAAATTTCCTTTTTATAGGAAATTTTTAATAAATTTCCTTTTTATAGGAAATTTTCAATAAATTTCCTCTTTATAGGAAATTTTCAATAAATTTCCTTTTTATAGGAAATTTTCAATAAATTTCCTTTTTATAGGAAATTTTCAATAAATTTCCTTTTTATAGGAAATTTTCAATAAATTTCCTTTTTTATAGGAAATTTTCAATAAATTTCCTTTTTATAGGAAATTTTCAATAAATTTCCTTTTTATAGGAAATTTTCAATAAATTTCCTTTTTATAGGAAATTTTCAATAAATTTCCTTTTTATAGGAAGTTTTCAATAAATTTCCTTTTTATAGGAAATTTTCAATAAATTTCCTTTTTTATAGGAAATTTTCAATAAATTTCCTTTTTTATAGGAAATTTTCAATAAATTTCCCTTTTATAAGATGTTTTCAATAAATTTCCTTTTTATAGGAAATATTCAATAAATTTCATTTTTATAGGAAATTTTCAATAAATTTCATTTTTATAGGAAATTTTCCATAAATTTTCTTTTTATATGATATTTGCCAAAAATTTCTTTTTTATAGCAAATTTTCAATAAATTTCCCTTTTATAGAATATTTGCCAAAAATTTCCTTTTTATAGGATATTTTCCAAAAATTTCCTTTTTGTAAAGAAATTTTCAAAAAATTTCCTTTTTATATTAAATTTTCCAAAAACTCCTTTTTTGTAAGGAAAATTTTCAATAAATTAGTTTTTTAATGGATGAATGTAGTTTCCAAAGGATTTTTCAAGAAAAAATTTCAATAATTTTCCTTTGTTTGTGAAATTTTCAATATTTTTTTCTTGTTAACAACTCCCAATTTCCTATTAGAAAATTCCCCTCCTTTTGACTGACAATTTCTTTGAATGTAATTTTATATTGAGGGCATCTCCTATTTTGTAAACATCTTCTTTTGCTCTTCTTGTCTCTTTCTCAAAACCAGCAAAGCCATACGAAACACACAACACGCACACCTACTTGTAACGAAGGAAAAAATCCGCCCCTTCGGCATTTTACGCGAAGTCTTTTTATAACAAAAACAAAGAACAGCAAAAAAATATGATTCAGGTTGAGTTTTTTTCTTACAACAACAACAGCATACACTAATACAATGGAGAGGTGAGTGGGTGGGTGTTTTTGGCAGTTTCCATAGTTCGTGCTCTACATGACACGGTAATAAGCCAAAGATCAAGCCTTAAATATGGACAATAAAAAAAAATACTTTTTACACTTGTTTGTTGGTGTGTAAGTATGTATGTAAATAAGTATATATTTGTATGTAGGATTTTTGTAAATATGAGAGTTTTATTTTTTTTACTAAGAAGACAACAAAAAAAACTTGTATATCAATTGCTCTTCCATAGAAATGAATGACTTGAAGTTTATTTTTTTATTCTATATGAACATTATTTCTTGGGCCCATGAAGTCCTTATAGGGGGCTGTTGGTAACTAGCTGGGTGTATGCTTTATGTTAAGAAAAAAAGTTTAAAAAAAATATTAAACATTGCCTTTTTCTACATAAAAAATGGTTGCTCTAGTCGTGTTTTCTTGTTGGATTCTCTAGTGTTTCCTGTGTATGCCCGTTTGTTGCTTCAATTCTTCTTTTCGCCAGCTGTTCTGTCGTCTGTGTCAATTTTTTTCTTGTGTTTTTTTCGTTTCTTTTGTTATTAGAGTGGGTGTGTGTATGTTTCTTGTGGACTTGTTGGTCGGTCTCCTTCAGTTTTGTCAGTTTCGTTAGTATTTGTCTCTTGTCTGTGTTATTTTTGGTTTGTGTGTTTTTGAATTGAATTTTTCTTACAATGATTCTCATTCCCTGTACATTTTTGACATACAAAATATTGCACATCAGGGTGTTAAGCTGTGAAGTGTTTTTTCAACTTTTTTTTCTATATTTTTGTTGTTGTTGTTGTTCTTATTGCTGGTAGATTTTTTTAAAGGTTTGTGTGTTTGAGCTTTATTTGCTCTCGTTGACATACTATACCCACACAGACACTTATTTACTTATGTTTATATGTATGTATCTACATACATACATACATATGTATGTATGTATATACGTATGTATGTATGTACTTAACCAAGAGTAATTACCAGATTGAAATAATTGGACACTATCCCTAAAATGGGGTTAACAGTTTAAATTATTTTTCCCATAAATTTCCTTTTGGTTGCAAATTTACAATAAATTTACTTTTTCTAGGACATTTTCAATAAATTTAATTTTAAAGGACATTTTTTATAAATTTCCTTTGTTACAGACATTTTGGAAAATTTTGCCTCTTTTA